GCAGTTGCCTAGGAAGTATTGAAGCCTGAGTTCTATCTGAGTGCAAACAACAACAACAAAAAAGAAACAGAAGATACTGATAATGACATTTGTGATTTGCCTGTGTGACAGTAAATTTATGTAAAAGAGAGTCTTCCTCAGAATTAGACTACCATTCAGATTTTCCTTTCATAAACTGGTTTATCCATACTACAGAATGTCTATCATATAGAATACCATGTAACCAATACAAATATAGAAGTAGATCTATGAGTTAGTATGGAAAGATCTCTGGTACAGATCTTAGGAAAAGAAGAGAGGTACACTAATGCGAGAGAGGTAGTCTTCATGGGTTGCTTAACGTCACAAAACAACATTTCACTGCTACCTACATTTTAAAGAGAAAATGCCTGAGAAGACACAAAACAGATCAGCGTGGTTACATTTCTTGGAAGACAAGGGAACATGGAGAATTTAGCACTATGTATAATGTCATTTTCTTTGGGAAATTAAAAATTAACTGAAAAATAATTAAAATACACTTCTATGCTCAAGAAACTACCTGAACAACCAACACCTCACTATAATTTAACATAAATATATAATAAAATTTAAAGGCAAAGTGTATTAAAATTGAGTCAAATTCCTTAAGTATTTATATTTTTCCTTCAAAAGCTTGTTCTTTTTGTTAATCTATAAAGAATGAGGACTTAAAAATGTACATTCAAGTGAAAATCAATGGTTTTAGTCATCTTGTGTCTAATATTGCAAATCATAGAAAACCCCAATATTGAGGTTAAGCAGAAAAAATTAAAAACTTAGCACTTAAGGAATAAAAAGAGAACAGAAGTCTTCCTATATAAAAAATTGGGAAAGAATTACATTAAACTCTCATTGATCCCTTAAATGTACCTATACAAATGTATCTACAAAATGATAGAGTACAGCTAAAAATAAGGCTGAGCATATTTTTACCTCCAAATAGGGCAGGTATGGCAGGAGGCTTAAGAATGAGATAGACAAGTGATCAAAGAAACATGAGAAAGGAGGAGGGGGGAAAAAAGGAAATGAAAAGCAAACCAAAGTAGTGTACTAAAGAGAGCAGAGCTGTGGAACAGAAAAGGGTATTAGTGCCTTCTGCCCAAAGAGTTAAATAATTACTCAAGCATGACGGAAATTGGCGTCTGTATTTGTAGAATAATTTTATAAACCATTGGTACATATGTTATGGGATAAAATCTTTGTAACACCTTAGTATCAAACCCAATTTCTAGAAAGAAATGAAAGTTCTGAGAGGTTGAGGAATTTGGGAAAAGGCACAGCTCATAACAGAAGTAAGGTCTTTTACTTCCAAGTCCAGTGTTCTTTCCAGGATCCCACTGCTGCTATAGACGGCTCTGAAATTTGCTACTAATTTTCAAACAACTATGAAAATTGCCAAAAAGCAAATGTGTTATCAATATAATAATACATAAACATACTAAGTTCATGTATTATTTTACGAGTTTATGTGTTATATAGCAGTAAGTTCCTCCTCTTACTTAAAAGGAGGAAAATACCTGGACAATACCTGATTTGTCCTTTCAAAATCAGGGGGAGGGAAGTAGGGAGAAGCAGCACAAGGGAGTCTTGTGGTGAAGCGGCTGTTTGGTATCTGCAGTATGCTGGTGGATATATTACCTAAGTGTATAATAAAGTTATAGAGAACTTAATACATACATTCATGCAAATGAGTACAAATAGGTCTGTGTTTGAACAATGTAAATAACCTGCTAACGACATTATGCTATAGTTTTATAAAATGCTACCACTGGTGGAAAGGTGGCATGGGATATTTCTACAGTGCCTATTATAACAGCATAGGAATATCTGGTTATGGAAATTTTTAAAAATTCAGTCTTAAAAATCAAAATATTTATGCCAGGAGCAATGATTTTAAAACAAGATAATGGTGTTGTATAGAAATGTGGGAAGACACAATGTACTCAAAGTCTTCAATAAAATCATGAAAGACTTGATTAGAGTGGAACCCCTACAGGCCTTATTCGTGAAATTAAAATTTTAAAACATCATTATTCCAAGTGAGAGATGATTACTTTGAAAAGTTTTGGGAGATACAATGCCTTAAGAGTGAGAGCATTTCACTTTAGCCATGTAAATGATAAACCACAGGTAGAAGGAAAGGAAGAGGAAGCAGAAAAAAAGAGGACAAAAGAAAATCTTTTTGAATTAGAACTCTGAACTAGGCTGCTTAAGAATTCCATCTCAAAATACCAACTGAGTCATGGCTCACATCTGTAATCCCAACTACTCAGAAGGCAGAGATTTGGAGGATCAAGATTGTAGGCCAGCCAGAACAAAAAGTTAGCAAGACCCCATCTCTATCTGTGAACAGGACATGGTCAACAAGCTGATGGTGCACATTTGCAAAATCAGCTACATGGGCTGCCATAGGTAGGAGGATCGTGGTTTGACATCTGCTCCAGGTAAAAACATGAAATCCTACCTGAAAAATAACTTAAGCATAAAAGGGCTGTGTGCCTAGCTCAAGTGGTAGAGAACCTGGTACAAGCACAAGGCCCTGAGTTCAAACCCCAATACCACCACCAAAAAAAAAAAAAAAATCAACCAATATAATACTGGAAGAATAATGCAGATGCTTGGGAAAATTACTATAGAATTATGGTGACAGTGATGAAATGCACCAAGAATGTTCTAATAATAAACCCAATCACAATAAGCAGGAAAGAAATGGCCTATCATGGTATTCTGGTACTTCAGTCTAACGCAAGGGAGTACCGGGAAACTATCACTAACATCATACTGACCTGCTTGTAAGTTCCATCTAGCAAGGTGTCCAGGTGTTGAAGAGGGGCAGGTGTTTTATCTTTGAATCTTGTTAATAGCCGGCGTTGGATGGCTCGGAATTGTACAGCTCTTTCAGATAAGAGTTCTTCTAATTTTTCACCATTTATCCTCAGCTACAATGAAGAATTTCTTAAAGTGAGGTTATACAGGAACAACAAAACATGGCAGGCAATGGCAATAAAAGTTTGAAAAGTACTAATGAACAAATTTAAACAATTTTCAGTTATGAGAATTAAAACAATGTGGCATTTGGTACAAGAACACATAAGTAATAGTGTGGAATAGATCAAATAGAAATTTAGTAAAGGTGACCCAGTATCACTGGTGGAAAGATTGATTTGATAAATGTTTTGTTATAACAAATTACATAGGAAAAATTACATTCCTTACAGCAAACTCAATTACAGAGGGAACAAAAGTTTATAGATATAAAAGCACTAGAAAAAATATAATCCTTTTCTATAATCTCAGCCTATGAAAGGTCTTTATTTTGAGTCAAAAGCCAAAAGCCACATACACACAAAACTGATAAATTGCTAACTTAGAAATTTAATTCTACATACGTAAAAATTTATAAGCAAAGTGAGAAGACAAACAGCAAACTACAAGAGGTAAATGCAATAATCACAGGGATGACAAAAAGTTAGGTCCATAATCTCTAGAAAGAATTTTTCAATCACTATGACCAGGACCACAACTTAACAGAAATCAGTAAGAAAAAGAGCAGTAATACAGTAGGAAAATGGGCAACGTTTTACATAAAGTATTAAACATACAGTCTTTAATTAGCAATCCCACATCTATGAATTTATCCTAGAAATAATGCTTGGTAAAAATAATGTACATATAAGCATGTTCATAACATGACTGTTCTACTGTTACTATACTGAGATATTAACGATCAAATTCCCCTCAATAAGAAAATTGGTTAAATAAACAAGACTACTCTGAAAGGTAGGGCTGATATGCAAGCTACCCAAAGGTACATTAAATGAAACAAAATAAAAGATACAGAATAATCTGTATCATGTGATACTATCCATGTATACATGTTTCTTCCATAAAGTTCTATGTTAGCATAGTTGTGACTATGTAGAATAGTTCTAGAAAGGTCCACAATAAAATAGACACCAAAAGTTTTCTCAAGGGTCTGGTGGAGTGGCTCAAGTGGTAAGAGCACCTCAAAAGAGGAGGGGGAGCCTAAGACTGAGAATGAAAAATTACTCTCCATTGTAGCCCATCTCATAACTATTAAATTTAATATTAATAAAACGAAAGCTAGCCAAAGTCAGAGCAGAATGAACACCCATGAGATCAGAAGAGATCTCATGGCTGCGCCATCTTTCCCCAGACAGCCTAACAGTTCAAGCCTGCCATGAGCTCTCTTTGTGAACGGCATTTTTCCTAACATTTTGGTGCAGTGACTCGGATAGGGTGCGCTCCCAGCACTGACCTTGCTCTCCCAGCTCCCCCATCCTGCCGTCACTCTCTCTCTCTAAACTCCCATTCCCTTCCTCTGGGATTTGAGCTGCCTTGCTGGAACCCCCATCCTAGAAGATGCCCTCATCGCTCACAGGAAATTTCCTCCACGCCAGTGCACCTCCAATCACCATCCACCACCACCGGTCAATCCTCCCTCAAGGTCCTCTCTCAGTGAGTCCTCCTCGCACACAGAGCCATGATCTCACCTTCTCATTTCCTCAAAATCCTAGCACTAGGTCTTGGCTCACTCTCATCCCTGGGGACCAGGTCCCCTAGGACTGTGGGCCTCCAGTGACGGAGACAGGAGACGCCCCTTCCAGGAGTCCCAACTCTACTCTCTCCTGAAGAAGCGATATCTTTGGGACGCCCATCATATCCTCTCCTCAGTTCAGGCCTCACCATGGGAGCTGTACCGTCCCAAATTCCCTCAGACTCCCCATCAGAATGTCTCCTGGCCAAGCTTTGCCCCTTCGCCTCACACCTGATCTTAAGCCCTAAAAGCTCATTTTTCTCTGTAATCAGGCCTGGCCCCAATATCCATTAGACAATGCCTCCAAAAGGCCACTTTATGGTACTTTGGACCCCAATATTTTAAGGGATTTATACAATTTCTGTGAGCATGCTAGTAAATGGAAGGAAATAACCTACATCCAATCCTTTTCCTATCTCCGCACCAATCCCTCCCTCTGTACTTCCTGTTCCCCTGCACAGGTTCTATTAGCCTCTAAACCAGCCTCTAAACCGACCAAATCCTCTCCCAAACCTCCTCCTTCCCCATGTAAGCAGACTTCTTGCGCTGCTTGCCCTGCCTGTCTCTTCCTGAGGGACTTTCCCGTCATGGTGTCAAGCCAGCCACTCCTTGCCAACTCTGGCATCAATGTGATTCCGGCTCTGGGGGAGCTCATGTTCCTTCCCTGTGGGCTGAGACCAAGCCTGGGGTTTATTCAGTTACGCCTCATGCTACATTGAGGTAGTCCTGATTGATATGGCACCTAATGACTGCTTCTCTTTTCCCCCCATCTAATACCCCTTCGGCCTGAGACAGTGACCCGAGATTGGAGGTTTCATGTTACTGAAAGTGTTCCAGTACCAGTCAATGGGAGCGACCTAGAGGCACAGGTGATCACTAATCCCTCAGACGTGTGTCATGCCTCCATGCTCTGCCTTCCCCTCCCTTACCTAAGATGTCAGGACACCTTTTCTGCTCCCTCCATGGTCTTACCATGGGTCCTTTGTCTCTGCCTTCCCCTCCCTGGGCTTCCTGGGACTCTGGCCTCCCATGAAAAACTTGTAGCATGGTACCTTATGACTTAAGTTATTCCCACTAGTTTGTCAGCACCATCAGTCTAAAGCAACTTTAAATCAACTGTTAGGCACCAGTGAAGGCAGAAGGGCTTGCAAAAAAAAAAAAATATGTGGCTACCACACTCACACCCTAACTCCACTCCCACAAGAGGAGAGGAAAACAAACAGGCACACTCCAGCTCCTGGGCACAGCGGAATGCCAGCCATATCTACGAGAATCCATAGAGAGGACCCAACACACATCCTAGGCCACCAGCTGCACATGGTGGTGGCTGCAGACCACTGCCACTTCCCCTAGAATAAATGCGCGCAGGCACAAGTACACAGGAAGGTGGGAGGGGCAACAGGCCGCAGGATCCGTCCTAGCAGACAGGGTTGCTTGTCCCAGGTGTATGTGTGTGGGGGGAGGAGGTGAGGTGCCTTGCACAAGCCCAGCTCCCAGCCCTACCTCATGCCTCAGGCCCCCGGATCCACCCCTTGTAAGCCAATTGTTAGCTCAAGGTTATAGTCCCAGAAAAAAAAGAGAGATCTCATGTGAACTGCTAATTCAGCCTTATAAACCTATAAGCTAGTTCTGAAACAAATACCCTAATCAAAATGTCCAGAAATCAAACATATTATATGATACATTTCTGGCATCAAACTAAGCTTCTTATCTTTACAATGCATATATTCCCCAGATACTTTATAAGAATTATATATAATATAAAACTTGGAATTTTATTAACTTCTTTTAATTAATCCTAATTTTAGAAGCATCAAGTAGCTAACTAAACCTAGTAATACTCTCTTGAGGGGATAAAAAAACCTTTCATTACCAAAAATTAATCAATAAAATGGATTTTGATAACTAAAAGTTTAAAATTCAATAGCCTAATTATCAATAACTCACTTAACTGAAACAAATAAAGAAAAAAGATAGACATTCTCAACACTCAGATACCAAGTAGGTTGTTCTTTCCATGAATGTGTAACCAAGTTACAGTGATTCAAATGTCTCCCATGTCAGAATTTAACATTAAACAAACACTTATGGATCCCAGGGCCAAGAATTGTTCGAGACATTAGGAATTATAGCAATGAATAAAACAGACAAAGCTGCATGCCTTGCTTCAATGTTCAAAATCTTCTTAATGGCTGAAAACTAACAGTGGGGACAGAGAGCAAAGGAACAATGATCATACCCAATTTAATATGTGTGACAAATGAAAGGGCTTGTACTTCATCTTATTCCCTAAGTCCCTCCCTAGAAAGGAAACAGTCCTGATGTAGAAACTCCAAGGAGTTCCTAGCCAGCAAATAAGAAGGGAAAACTATGTCAAACTTATTAGTCAAGAGTTTAAAATATTCTCTATTTTAAATATTACAAACATGTAATTAATGTAGTCTTTCATAAACCATTAGACCCCAATTTGGCACAGTGAAGCAATAATAACTTAAAATATATCCTAGAGGAATGCAAAGATTCTCAATCCTTAAAATACCTAAATACACTCCTTTGAACTGTCAATTTTGGTGCCATGCCTGTCAAATACATACTGACTTAGAAAATTCTATCATCATCGATGAAGGAAAACCCAAATAAATTCAAGTTACTTGATAATGACATGGTTATTCATAATTGGATTGCATACACCTAAAATTTGCTTTACATTCACACTGTGCTAAAAGAACTTTTGATATGTGAAGTTAATGATCATACCCTTTGAATACACAAAGGGTAACTGATGAGTTACATGACTGATCACCTCATCTTCTCTCTGTCTTTCTTTGTTGTGTGTGTGTGTGTGTCTTGATTCCTTAAAAATTAGTCACTTCAGCAACCAGTTCTTACTTGAATGATGCTCAAAATTATTTCAAAATTCCCCTTTTGTGTTGCCTCTTAGAGACTCTATAAGTAAATGGAGCCTGGTGGTGACTTTAATATATCTAATTTTTAAAGTAATGACTGTCATTCTCTAATCTATTCACAAAACATGACTATTTCCAAATATCGAATTAATCTTCAAAGGATGAGATTCTCAAGAGAACCTAATACAGATTCTGAAGGACCTGACAAAGAAGAAATGTAAAAATATTCAGAGCAACAAAGTCACGGTCAGATCTCATTGATTTAGACATTTAATTATTCAGCATTTACTAAACACTCATTAAGGCAGGTAGCAGAGAATATTTTTAGTTAATGCTCATTTAGGTGCATAAGCTATGGTCTGCTTGTTAAAAAAAAAAAAAAGAAAAATCACTTTATAATCACACCTCATTTATGGCCTGCTAGGATTAGTTAGCCAAATGGCTGCCGATAAACTCAAATAGTTTTAACACTAGGTTATTGGGGTCAAGGGTTAAATCCTCATATGGGAGAATTAAATCAGCTCTGCTTCAAGGCCAGACCACATGCTTAGCTACAGGCAACCACTCTGTATATGTCTGCAACTGATCACAATTGGGCAAGAGGGCAAGAACAAATTCACAAAATCCACATCCATGTAAGAATTACAATTCAAGAGCATATGATCTACAACACCTACACTAGAATTCACACTTCTAAAGCATATATTGCTCTTTCATACTTTAATGACTATAGGTGATGTGGATCACAATTATACACACCTCAAAATGATGATCAATCAGCTCAAAATATTCTTGAAGGGGCATACATCCAGAAAAAGAACATGAGAAATCTTTGATTCCCTGTTTTCCAAAATATTCCTTAAGGCGGAGAATAAGCTCATTTGTTATGAGCCAAAGATCTTCAAACTGTTCACTCTGAATGCGATAACGTTCTAAAGGCGAAAAATAATTGAGAAAAAAAATGCTCATTAATATATAATTATTAGTTTAAAGATAAAGATTCCCTTTTAGTAATACAGATACGATTTCTACTCACTTTACATAAAATGCTTCTGCTTTGTTGCTATTTTCTGAATTAACCATTTTAAAATTTGAAATCTAATCCCCTTTTTTCTTTTTGACAGTATTGAGGTTTGAACTCAGAGCCTAGTGCCTGCCAAGCAGGTGCTCTACCATTTGAGCCACTCCCTAGCCTCAAATCTAATTCCAAAGGTACATGGTCATAGCTGTAAGCTCAGAATGGTTCTTTTTACCATGTGGCCAACACTTAGTACAAGAAGAACACCCGAATTGTGGTCCTTTAAAAAAAATCTTTACTTAAAAGGTAAGACAAGGGACCATTGGAAAAAGCACAATCTAGCATTATTAAATTCAGAATATTGATGTGAAATAAAATTTATTCTATAGAAGGTCCCATATTATAGCTACTATAGACATAAATCCCTTTAAGCATAAAGTATAGTATTTTTCTAATAGTTCTCTAACTGGAAAAGAGATTTTACAGTCAGATGCTTCCCTAGACATAAATCTTATTTCCTTCTATTGCCTGCAACCCCAACACCAAAAGAACAAGGTTCCTGTGTATTCTTCACAATGATGATGATAGCAACAGTGGTGGCGACAAAAGCATATATAATAAGAGCTATTGTTTGTTGGGCACTAACTGTGCACCAAGCACCATGGCTACAACAGCCCTTTTTATAAAAAGGAAAACAAAAGCACAGAGGATTTTAGTGACTTGCCAAGGATCACAAAGCAAATTAAATGTTAGAGCTACAATTCAGTCTATATTCTTCCTACTTGTGTAAATCCCACCTATACTTCAGGACAAAATGTTAATCTCAACTATCCCCAAGAAAGCTTGATTTACCACCTATAGAAGCCTAATAAGCACTACGCTCTGTTTTATGTTCTCTCTCATTTAAACTTCAACCATCTTGTGGGGGAAATAATATTATGCCTATTTTACAGAAAAATAAATCTAGTCACATAAGAGTTTAACCAATTTGCAAGGTCATCTATCTAGTTACAGAGTAGGATTTGGAATTCTAATAATTTAAAAAATTAGCCATTAATCTTAACCACCTCACAACATTACAGCTCTCTGAATTTATATAGAGACTCAATATATCTAACCATTCACTAGGAATTAACTACATATGCATTCTTGTTCCGCTTTCAAGATGATTATATTCAGTGCCTTCAAAGGGATTACACACTTTTTGAGATCAATCCCCTATTCTATTTCAGCATTCATTGAGCATTTATATTATGCATGATATCATAAAGAAATAATATTGGGAATACAAAGATGAACTCAGTCTTTTTGTTTACAAAGTCTAAGGACAAGCTCGGGTAACAAGATACACAGACATGTCAAATATTTCTTTATGTTCCCCCTTGGTATCCTGGCTAGGACTTTACCATCAAATTCAAGAAGATATGTCCTCTGATTTCACAAGTCATTCTTTTTGTCAAGTATATATGGAATAAAATATACTGGGTGTGCCTGCCACAGTTCATGAAAACACTCTAGTCTTCTCTATTGCCATCCCATCATCTTTCCTTAACTTCCACCACATTGCCTTCACCCTAATCTTATTCTAGATACTGGATTATGCTCATAATACTAATCATAGTTCTTCCTCATTTCTCCCCATCAAAAATATGAGGACCAAGGTCACACATAACAGCTTTTATTTTTCTTTGTAAATGTTATTAATGCTTTAGAGACCGCAGAGTTGTGGAGGCATAGGGACAGAAAGGTAGAAGGGAGAATGATGATAATAAAGCATAGTATCAGAATCCTCTATATCTACTTTTATCAGAGTTAATTCTGGGATCCAACAGAGTAAACCCAGACTAGCATTTATTCATTCTTTCACTCATTTACATAACTCTATGCAAGATGCTGGGGATAAAATCAAGACAATGTCTTCATCCTTCAAGAGTTCCCAAGAGAGTTGGAAAGATGGCATGATGACCTAGGAGGAAACACTGCTTCTGCTACAGTGATGCCAGGACTTCCCCCAGAGGAAAGACTATCATTTTCAA